ATAAACAGAAGGAAAGTTCAGGTGCACTTTTGCTTTTTAAGCTACCTGCCAAGCCATGAACTTCAAAGACAGAGACAGGAAAGGCAGAACTGAAAACACAAAAATAGTTTCAAAAACACTATTTTCATGTGTTCCCTTCTGTTTCATCTTTTCGTTTCTTCTCCCAAACTGAGGTCTGATTGCTCAGGTATGTGTGGCCGCTCCCTTTACATCTGTGTTACTCTTTGACCCTGTCCCTTCTGAGTCGCTGGTGCTCAGAATGTTCCAGGGAGCTAATCTGATCACCCACCCAAAGGGTTCCTGTGCGGCGCTGCTGGCTATGTGGTGGGAAAGGTGTGAAGGAATTTCCAGGGGCTGTTTTAATTAATTAGCTGCAGAACAGAAGCAGAATGCATTTCCTTTGAGTAAACAGGACCTCCGAAGGTTATTTTGCGATGCAGCTTAGAGCTTCTGTTTTATGGCGTTGGGACTGGTTGAGGATTGTGATTCCTGGTTGTTTTTCCAAAAGTTGTTCTTCTTCGCAGTCGGCCCTTCTGCTTTGATCTTTTCCTCCCCAACTTCCCTACCACCCCCGCCACACACACTCCCCTGAGGACACTCAGCTGGCATTCTTTAGCAAATTTCAGACCAAGCTGAACTATGTTAAAATTGTGTACTAGGTTTTGACGTAGGTGCCTCACGATTTGAGCAGAGTGTGCTATTTCTGAGATTTTAAGTATACAAATATCTGTTGCTATATAAAAATACACTTTAAGGATTTACACCGCAACAGAGGATATTTTTTAAGGTTGCCTTAAAACATGTTAAAATTCACCCCTTCGCTCACCTTGAAAAGCACTCAAAAATGGCTTCTTTATCCTCAGGCACAAAGCTACAGTTGTTTCTTAGCTCTGTCCACGCCAACCTTTATGCCAACGTGGAATCCGTGCCTAAAATAGTCTATGGAAGCAATGCCTTTACTGCCAAGGTCTCTTGCACCAGGGCTGCTAAGCCTCCCTTCTATTTTAAATATCAAGCTTTTCATTTTCAGTAATTTGGGGATAGAGGTTCTGTCTTTCACTTTCATAATAATACCAACCCTTTCCGAGGAACAAGTCCGGAGCATTTACTGTATGTCAGAGACCATCCAAATGTGTATCAACCCATTAGGTCTTCTAACAACTATAGGAGCTGAGTGTTCTATTCATTATCCCCATTTTAAAATTCTGAACCTGAGACACAGAGAAGGTAAAGCCCTTGTGCTTCAGGAAGTCTTGAGCCAGCCCGAGTCCTGGTGCAGCCGCCGTGCCCCTTCCCTGTGCTCTGTCCTCCCGGTGGTGGGAGAGAGCTGATCACTGTCTTCCCTACTAAGATGGCCAAGGTATCAGCCTTTAAAACACAGGCGCCACCTCACCTTGACTTCCTTAGTTTCAGGAAGATAAAAAGTGACCCTTCCCCTAATCAGTTTTGGAACTGACTTTGGAGGACTCACTGAGAACTAAACACCAGTCCAGCAAGGCCCCAGGATGCTTACACTGTTGGGCCAGGAGCAGCTGATTCCCCAGTCCTCCCTGTGTGGTGGGAGAGAAGGCAAGATGCCAGTGAGCCTTCCAAAGCAACTCAGAGCCATGTCACCCTAGCCCCTGGGTGTGTGTTGGTTTGGGTTTTTTTCCTCTTATTTACAGAGGTCTCCGGATGCCGGGTGTTGTGGTAAGTCCTTCACACACACTTTCTCACATAAGCCTTGCATTTAACTCAGGAGTCAATGTCATTAGAATTCCTATTTAACAGATGGGAAAACTGAAGCTAAGAAATATTCAGGAACTGGGGGGAGGGTATAGCTCGGTGGTAGAGTGCATGCTTCGCATGCACAAGGTCCTGGGTTCAATCCCCAGTTCCTCCGTTAAAAAACACAGACAAAACAAAGAAGGAGTATTTAGGAATTGGCTGACTCTCGCCCAGTGGAGCCAGTGAAAGAGCCTAGACCTAGCTGCCTCGAAATCACAACCATTTAACCACAATTCTGTGCTGTCCCCAACACACACACACACCCTGCATGGTGCCCTCGCAGCTTGTGGCTTCAGGCTGAACAGTTCCTGAAGATTCCAGGCCTCCCTACCCCCAAGCACAGAGGGTCCCTTTGGGAATTGCACGTTCTGTGCTCAGTCTAGTCCCGTTAGCCTCACCCTCACAGCTTTTCCCCAGGGTGTCCGTTGGGCTGGAATGAGCATGCCTTGCCGGCTAGGCTCTGCCCACCACCCTCAAGGCATTCACCTGAGTGCTCAATTCTGAAGGGGGGGCCTTCAACTGCTGCTTTTCTGGAAATTAATCTCTAAAAGGGAAGAGCCTTTTAGGCTATGGAGCAGCCTGTGTCAGCACTCCCAATGCAGAATGGTTGCCAGGTCCCACACATGAGACAAAAGTTGTGTTAAAGAAGTTGAAGCAGTGGATGGAGGAGAGCTGTTCCCCAGGCAGCCTCTGCAGCTTGCTGCCCGAGGGCTGGACCCCAGAGAAAACAAGTAAGGTTAATCCCTGCCACCTGTCAATAGCATAGAAAATCTGAGGTGCTGCTGCAGTGGGAGAAGGCATGACCCTCACTGGCTTGTGAACACATTTGAAAACCTACGAAAACCCAATTCTGGAATCATTTCCTACCCTGTCCTCCCATCCCTCCTTTAGAGAACTTGGGGAAAACAGCCCATGAGTGATAGTGGCCAACACTGTTCTGAAAGATGTATCCTGGCAGAGCGAGTGGCCAGACCCTTCCGTGCTTGGGGTCCCTTTTGTTATCATTTCTCTCTGGCATTCACCTGAGCTCTGAAAAGATTGTTGGAACCACAAACAACGTGTGATTAACTGGTTTCTGTCAAATATTTTCTCTGCCGTGATTCATGACTTTGGGGCATTACTTGGATTGGGTTAGTTCAGCGTTGATCTTCCCAGGATTTTTGGTTTCCTTCCTAAATGCTTTCTTGCTTTATTACTATTTTATATATAATTTTTAAATAACAATTATTGATCATCTTTGTTTCATAGAGCTGCAGAATGTCCTAAGTTCAATGACTGACCCTGAGTCCACAGAATGGTTTCATTAGTAGACACATCATCTACAAAGTTTCAGACCCCCTTTATCCTCTTCTGGGCTTTTCAGCTGATGATGTGAGGACTTCTTAGGGTCACCTTCCACAGGAAGTACCCCTCTTTAGGCTTAAGGCTGCAGAATGCTGAGAACTGCTCTTCATCACCTGCCTGTCGAGTTTCCAAATCAGACTAGATTTGACAGCCAGGGAAGAGTCTTGTATCCACACTGCCTGGGCAACCCCCAGGCAATCTCAGCTCCCTGCCTACCTCCTCTGTCCTTGAATTCCCTCCTTTTCTCCTTTTTCTTTCCTTTTACCTCCAACTTCTCCTAGTCCCCAGACTTCTTTCCTCTCCTTTTTCTTCCCAGAGTTTTCTTTGGAGATTAAATAGAAACAGCCAAACTCAAAATTCCTCCCAGCGTGGTGAGCCTAATGCTGACCTTCCACATCCCTCAGGATGGACCTCATGGCCATCACCTTGTCCTTCTTTCTCATCCCTTATGAAGCCCAAGCCACCAAACTGATCTATTTTTCTCTGTGTAACATTTCTCTTCCTGCTTCCTTGGAGAGTGTACCTAACAGTGCACATCCATTACGTAGACTAAGGTACTTACATCCTAGAAGCTGTCTTTGTGGGAAAAGGCATCTAGATTTATGGCTAATGGGGCTTGTGAGCAGAAGGGAGCTGTGTCCCACATCACCTTCACCATTAAAGTCAACTGGTCCTGCCCTAGTCTACAGCTCTGTCTTTCCCAGTCGGTTACACAAATCACCACTATGACCATTCCCCAGGATTTCCATCCACCGGACGGGTGGAGTGGGAATGCCAACCTGCCATGTCCCATTCTAGGAGAACAGACTTTCCAAGAGAAACATTGTGAGGTTTAATTTGGTTTGGTTTTGATCTAACCAGAAAAGTAGAATGAGTTCCCCTGCTAAATGCTGCTAGAGAACCCAGCCAACAACAAATGCCTGGTGGGAAAATTGTAGGAGTTGTGATATTTTCAGGGATTCATCATATCTGAAATCTAGGCAATAATCAGTTAGTTTCAAATGAGGCTCCTTTGTGCCTTGAATGTTACCGCAGTGCAGGGGTGGGAATCAAGGATTAAAAGAGGAAGAAAAATGTGCTGTATTTCCCTAATCTCTACACTTTTGCATGCTTTTTTTTTCTGTGCTTGTTGCATGCATTTACCCATTAATTATGTCAGTAATGGAAAAGAAATGAAGCATTGTATCCATGGGACAGCTGTTTAAAATGATTACTTTGAAAACGGTATTTTTTCCAGCACCTTTCCCTGAGGCGTCTCGTCACCAGTAGACATTACTTGCTGTGCTCATTTGATCATCCTTTGCGCTAAATCCCCAACTTGCCTCCTTGATGCTTTAATTGCAGCTGACTCAGCTAATTCGAAAAGCCGTGATGCATGCTCCCGACTCCTTTAGAAACCGCAGTGTTGAGATAAATGTTTGAAAACCAAAGTCAAGTCAAAGGATCCCTAGGTGTGGCTTTCCATGGTCAAAAGCCAGTTCTGGGATGAGCATGTAATTCCAGAGAAATGACTCTGCCTCCAGAGCAATTCTGTTTCTCGAGACCTGTTTTTGAATCTTCAGCAGGAGAGGGAGTTTTGGTGACGATTTGTGCTTTCATTGTTTGTAAGCATTTGGGAGGGAGGGAAGAGGTCCAAGTTAAACCTTTCGTCTATCGTCCCGCAGCTTGAGATTCTCAAATAGAGAATTGGGCTGAAGAATCCACAAGGTAAGAAGGTACCCTTCATGCAGGTCGTGGGGCATTAGGGTTGGGCAGAAAGGAGTGGTCGCTGCTCTAGGGCACCATCACGAAGGGAGCCACGCACCTGCTGACCCAGCGCTTTGCCATTTGCCTCTCTCTTTATCTTCCTCCTCACCTTGTCTCCTTTCCATTACTTTCTCTTACTTCAGGGAGGTTCAGAGAAAAGGCTTCAATTCTCCACAAGATCGCGAAGAAAAAATGCCAGGTGGATGAGAACGAGAGGCAGAATGGGGCTGCCAATCACTTGGGTGAGTCCAGGGAGACGTCCATCCTGTGCCTTTCCTGGGGTGTGGGGAGAGGGGCAGAAAGGAAGGACCCAGCGTGGGGACTGGACTCGGTGCAGACACAGATCCCTGCAGCTCAGCACCCGGGAAGCCCAGGTTTCAAGAAGAGACCCACTTCCCCTGGTAGATACAGGGCATGAACAGGCACAATGTCACCTACGCTCAGGGAACTTTAAAAAGAATGACGTGACTCTATGAGGAATCATATAAAATCAATAAATAAAAATATTTAAATAAATAAATCATTTAAAATAAACAAAATTACACCAGCTCCTAACCAAGCATCTCCACCAAAGAGTAGAAAATCTCTTCAGTTTCAGGAATTGCACACAATCCCACAAGTGCACAAGAAGACACGCAGACCTGTTATTTAATGCTTAACAAAAGGTGAGAGTGTCCTTTCTCAAAGTCTTGCCTGGTAAGCAGATTTTGTACCTATGTCAATGCCCACGGCACTCCCAGTAAGTGACCACATTGTTCACTTGGTCGCTCCTGAACTGAGTGGCAGGGTCCATGTAAGATGACACTGCCTCCCTTTCTTAAGAATTCAGCAGCACTTGCCCGGGTTTCTTTTGGCTGACTTTTTCTGAGTTCCTATATGACCAGATCGTGACATTCAGGCATCTTATTTTAACTTGGAACATGATGTTCCTCCTCTCCAGCCTGCGACTCTAACGTAGCTCTCTAATTCTAAATTCAAACTAAATTTAACCTAATCTGGAATCTATGTTATACACTCTGCTATTCCCCAAGAAACTAAAATTATCTGCAGACAAAATTCAACAGTGTTGCACTCAAAATACATGACATTCCTTAGAAGAGTTTCTGCCTGTCCTGTTGTCCTGACTTCTAGCTCAGGGAAAATCTTTGGCCAAGAAACAGTCAAGATTCTATTGGGTATGAAAAGAAAAACTTGAAGGAAATCAGCTGACATGTTAACCGTCATGCCTGGAAGGTGGCTTCTCATCTGTTCATGTCTGTTCTTTGGTATCTTAACTCCGCTTTGACACCCAGCATCCCGTGCCACTGGGGTCAAGTTTGGCCACTGAAGGCTGATCCAAAAGTTGTATCACTTCAGCCACTAGACACCCCGAACACAATTTTAGTACTTCCCAAGGTATTTAATACTTTTTAGTTTAAATAACTGAACAGCCATCCTAGGAAAAACAGGCATAGCCACACACAGCAGACCATCAAAGAGATAACATCATCACTACTAAACACATGGGAAGATAAAAGAAGTTTCAGTTTCAATGGCTTCTCGTACTGAAATATATTTATGCCTCTGTATTCCACAACTCAATACATAAGTAAACATAAACATTTCCCTAGGACTTCCGCAGTTAGGCTCCTTCAAACCCAACAATTTTTGTATGACTCTCAAATTCTTTGCCAGTGAGATTTTACATAGAAATGTTTAGTTTTTCTGAAGTTGCTAGGGAAAAAAAAAAAACATACTCTAGGAGCGGCCTTACACTGCCTGTATCCGATAGTGATGAGCATTCCGATACTCCTGGCAGTCCTGACGCTGAACGTCTTCATTGCCTCCTGAAAGTAAGAATCACCCAGCACAGCCTGGGAACCCTGTTTGTTTCCCTCTCACTGAACTCATGGCAAACCTCAGTGGTGCCTGATCACTGATCACCTGTAGGTGTTCCTCTGAGTCCTGGAAAAAAATCTCCTAGTGCAAGGCAGGTGCTGTAATGAGGATCAAAATAGTTTATGCTTCTTGTTTGCTTGCTGTGTACCAGGCACTGTGCCGAGAGCTTTATATGCATTTTCTTTTGTCATCTTTGCAGGCGTATCTTTGATCACATTGTTAGTTGCAGGAGATGTGGTGATACTTTTGTCATCACCTCAGTTTTACAGATGAGGAAGCTGAATTTCAGAGAGATTAAGTCACTTGCTAACAGTCTCACAGCATTTGTACTAGAGTCAGAGTGTGAACCCAGGCCTGTCTGAGATGCTCAGTATCCAAGTCCCAGTGCTCAGCCATTACCCAAGTCACTCGCCAAACATCTCTCATTCAGTAATGATACCGATTTTTCCTCCATCACTTGTTCATCACTGCCCCACCCCCCGTCTCGGCCTTGCCTGCAGTAGGATGCCCGGGTGTGGAATGTTCTAACTAGCATTCTCCAGACCTTTCAAGAAGGTGGGGTTCCCAAGTCTGCCCTCCCCATGACACCTGCACACTGGCAGAGTCATCCACTCACTGAGCCTAAGGGAATGAGAGCTGGAAGCAATGGGCCTTGGAAGTCAACCAGTTGAATCCTCTCATCTCACAGATAAGGTTTCTGAAAACCAGATGAAGGAGGGGACCTGCCCAAGGTGACAGCCCAATGGTGGCAGAGCAGAGCGTAGGACCCACGTCTCCTGAAGCCCTCGCTAATAAATATTCTAAAACATATTACAAAAGAAAAGATCCTTCTATAAAAAATACCTGAGGGATGTGGTCCTGGGTACAAACAATAGTGTGTACACTGGGTATGGTTTTGGTTTAAAAGTGTCTGTGCTTATGTTCTTGAATGGCTAGTTGGTCCGTTTGCCTCGTCTAGAGAATGCAGCCCCTGGGAGCTGATGGGCACAGGAGATCAGACATCAGGCCAGAGGGGATACCAGACAGCTCGTAAAGGAGGTGGACGGCTGAGTACACTGAAAGGCATGGGGGAGAAGGGGAAAATCCTTTGCCATTTGGTGCAACCTTAGCCCTGGCTTTATCACCCCACCCAGACCACTGTCTTCCCCTCCGGGCCCAGCATTTTAGGATGTTCTTTTCAATGTGGCGCTTACCCCACTGACTCCATTTTCTTTCTTTGTGTGTGTGTCTTAATTATGTCACAGAAAAAATCGAGCTCCCAAACAGCACCAGCACAGACGTGGAAATGACACCATCCAGCGATGCTTCGGAACCTGTTCAAAATGGAAATCTCTCCCACAGCATCGAAGCTGCGGAAGCCCAGGTATGGCTTTTTTCTATCACTCTTCCGGGCCGCCGTGCTTGTTGAAATCCTAGCACAGCAGCAGAGACCCTCTGTTCTCCTCAGAGGCCCCAGTTCCCAGCTGGACAGGCACCAACTGGAGTCATTTGTCTTTGTGTGTGTTTCCCAGTCCTGGTCACATGCGTCAAGCCCTTCATTTATTGAATAAGAGCACATATGCTCTAGCCACTGTTTCTCAGTGAGATTGGAAGACTTATGCATCAAAGCCCTTGGGGATAAAAATACAGGTTTCCCAGGCCACATCCCAGACCTGACGAAACAGAATCTCTGAGAAACAGCACCCAGCAATCAGCATTTTAACTCACTTCCCAGGTAGTTCATTTTTTATTATCGAACTGTAGTTGATTTACCATGTTGTGTTAGTTTCAGTTGTACAGCAAAGTGATCCAGACATACATACATTTATATATTCTTTTTCAGCAAGTGATTCTTAATAGACAATAAAGTTTAATCGCTACTGTAGTCTTTCAGGCCAAGGTTAAGGAACAGAGAAACCACAGCCATCACACCTCAGTTAGCCCCCTTCGGCCTTCCCTGTCTCTGCAGTTGAAATTTTTAATCAATCCTCTCTGGTCCAATCCACCATTCAGTGGTGCGACCATTCAAAAGCTGTTTGATCTAATGGTTATAATACTGAACACTTACATGTACCATGTGCCACAAATTTGATGCCGGACGCTTTGCAGATATTCTCACCTTTAAAACTCAGAGAGGTTAAGTCACTTGCTAATAGTCTCACAGCATTTGTACTAAAGTCAGAGTGTGAACTGAATGTATAGGCATTTAGTATCTCCATTTTATAGTGAGGAAGCTAAAACTTAATGAGATGAAGTAGTTAATCAAGATTACCCAGTTTGTAGGTGGTAGGGCTGAGATTTGATCTCAGGACTGTCAACATACAGTCTCTGCACTGTTTCTACAATGCAGCACTGCCTTTGGACCACAGTTGCTCAAAAAACGAGGCAGAACTGAAAAGCAGGTGGTGATTGTTAGATTTCTGGATCTCATCCTCATCAAGTGAATCAGACTTGGAAGGCACAGAGCCCCAAACCTGCATTTTAATCAGGCACCCTGAGTCAGTGTTTTTCAAACTTAAACGTGCTTATGAATTTCCAGGGGGATCATGTTAAAATTCAGGTTGATTTGTCAGGTCTGGAGTGACACCCAGAGTTTACTCCCAGGTGATTCTGATGCTGCGGGTCCGAGGACCACATTTTGAGCAGCACTACCCTAAAGTTTGTGACCCTCTTCTCTAGACAGAATGTTCCCTCCCAGCACCCTCTTCTCCTTTTCACCGGGATACACTCTGCACAGAGGGGGTCTGCGCTCCTTAGAAAAACACATGCTAAGTGTTGCCTGTTGCCTTTATTCCCTGGAGAAATGTGCAAGCAAAGTTTCTTCTTTTAAAGGAAAGGATAAGGACTGTCAAGCACCTTTTCAGATACCTGTTGGCCATTTAGACATCTTCTTTGAAAAAATATCTGTTCAGGTCCTTTGCTCAGTTTTTAATCAGGTTATTTGTTGTTTGCTGTTGAGTTGTGTGAGTTCCTTACGTATTTTGGATATTAACTCCTTATCAGGTACACGATTTGCAGATATTTTCTCCCATTTCATAGGTTACCTTTTCATCTTGTTGATTGTTTCCTTTGCTGTGCTTTTCACAAGGTGTACGTGTATCAAACCATCACATTGTACACTTTAAATGGATATAATTTTTATTTGTCAATTATACCTCAGGAAAGCTAGAAAAAAATAACTAAAGGAAAGGATAAAGAAACAGCAGCTCCTTCTGCCCTTGTCTCCTCTACCTTCCAGGCTCTTGCCCTGCTGCCCAGAGCCCCATGGTCCCTTCACATTAGGTTGGGGGTGAGCTGGCAGAGCAGTTTATGTCCACGTGGATAAGCAGCATGTGGCAGCGGGAGGCAGGCCCCAAGGACATCTGGCTGCCCTTGGGGATGGCGCGGTCACAGGTGCGCTGAGGGCAGCCTCGTCATCGTGCCTCTCCCATCTGGCTGGGAGAGGGACATCTGTGCCCCCATGCCAGAGCATCTTGCTGCGGCAGAGTGAGAGTCTCTACTGACCCCCTCTGAGCAGAGCTGTGCCCCCGGGTCTCACACAGGGAAACAGGACAGATTTGTGAACCACCCTGATACACTAAGAGCTCTAGGGCACACAGCCCTTCAAAGAACCCCCATCCCCACCCCTGCAGCTGCCTGCAGGATAGCCTGGCCGTGAATTCCAGATCCACCCAATCTCACTTTAGTTTTTGCATCTGTAAAGTACAGATAATAATAGTACCCACCTCATTAGGGATATTAGGAGAGTTACATGAGATAATGTGCATAAAGTACTTAGCACAGAGCTGAATGCTGCTATTTATATGAACATGTCCCATACCTACTATATAAACAGCATCCAAGGTGTCCCTTCCCTGTGGGTAAAATGCTCATTGTAGTAAAATGAAAATGAAATACATATACAAAATATGTACATATAAAATGTTGAGAGGATTCAGGATAAAATAAGTAAATAAATAAGCACCTGTGGTAGGTGAGTAATGTGGTCAGGGAGGTCTGTACAAAGTGCTCTGGGAGCCTGCCAGAGGAAGAACTTGACCCTGGCAAGGGAAAGTGTAAAAGCTTCATAGATGATGTAACGTTCAAGCTGGGTATTGATGGGTGAGTAGGAGTTTGTCGCTCAGAGAAGGAGTTGATGACCAAGATGACCCCATGTTCAAAGGCATAAAACCTTAAGAGGAAAACTCATGTTCAGTGATTGGTGAGAAAGCCAGGGGAATTAGAGACTGAAATACAAGGTGAGGAGTGAGGAGAGATCCACTGGGAAAACAAACTGGGCTGAAAATCTTCCACTGTTCAGTCAAAAAATTTTCCGTGTTCATCTAATATGTGTCAGGCAATGTGCTGGGCACTGGAGATGCCCACCCATTCCAGCAGAGCAGAGAGCCTGCAAATACAAACCAAGATATGATTACACAAGGGAATAGGGCCATGAAGAAAATGAAGCCTGGTGACACAATGGAGGACAAATAGAGGGGCCCCTTAAAGTTGGGAAGCAAGGGAAAGCTTCACTAAGGAAGTGATGTTTGAACTGAGGCTGAAATTTAAGAATGCTCAGGCCAAGGGAACACACCCACAGAGAAAGAAGTGAGCTCAGCTTGTTTGAGGAACAGAAAAGTCTATGTGGCTGGAGAGTGGAGTGATGGAGGGAGGAGGTGATGTGGGACAGGAGTGCCAAGCAGAGATGGCCTGCCTTGTAGACCATGAGAAGGAAGTAGACTTCCTTCTAGGACAGCAACAAGCTATTAGATGTTCCCAAATGTAATTTGCACTTGTAAAAGATCCCTGGGGCTGAGTGTAGAGATTGGATTTATGGCAAGAGGTTGTGTAGCAGTAGTGGAGCAAAGAGGTTGCTGTGGGAGCTGAGGCACAGCTGATGGTGGCATGGACCAGTGCAGTAGACAGATAGGGAGGGGAGGAATCATGACGGGCATTGTAAGCACCATCAAGCTGCCTGGACTTCCCCCTTCTGGGAGTAGGGAGCCCAGGATGCAGAGCAGTGAGGCAAGAGCCTATTTGGTTCAAGGATCAGCAAACTATGATTCTATGGCCAAATCCAGCCCTGCAGTCTGTTTTTGAATGACCCATGAGACAAGAATGTTTTTATATTCTTGAAGGTTTAAAAAAAAAAAGCAGCAGCATATGTGACAGAGACCATAAGGACCACAAATCCTAAAATATTTACTATCTGGCCCTTTACAGGAAAAGTTTGCCCACCCCTAGTTTAGACCATCTGCAGTCTTTCGCAAAAAAAAAGAAGGAAAGAAAAATAATGAGGAAGCTTTTCATGCACTTATATGGAATGATCTTCAATATATGTTGTTAAGTGGAAAAGGCAACATGCCAAATTGCATCCAGTATACTCTATTCATGTAAGAGAGGGGAAAAAAGGAGGGGAATAACCGAATACCATATAAGCCTTTACTTGTGATGCTATTGAAGAAACTGGTCATGCTGACTGCAGAATAGGGGTCTGTGCTAGGGAACCGTGGTGGAGGTAGCCTTCTGCATGGATCTTTCAGTGTAGCCTTCTGTAGCTTTTGAATTTTGAACCAATTAACAGTATTACCTATTCCAAAAAGAAATACAGCAACTAAAATTAATAATGGTTAAATTAAAACAGAAATGGTATGCATTAGTCATTTAAGAGCAGAGTCTCTGAAGACAGACCACATGAGTTCAAATCCCAGGTCTGCCACTTACCAGCTGTGTGACTTTGGACAAGTTCCTTAACCTCTCTGTTCTCATTTGCCTTCTCTGTGAAGCAGAAATAATAACCCATTTCATAGCATTTTTGTGAGACTAGAATACTCGTAGAACAGCTCTTGGCACAGAGTAAGCACCACATAGGTGTTTGCTATTATAAGCAGTACTTAGTAAAACCTTTTTTAAAATTACTATTAAATAGCCCAGATGACAAGACCTCAGACCAAGTATTGTCTGTGGTGTGGATGACAATGGCTGGATGTGAGAGCTGTTTCTGAGGCAGAATAGAGACCATTTGGTAATAAATTGGTCATGGAGAACAACGACAACGACAACAACAAAACGGTTGTGGGTCATGCTGACATTTCCAGGCTGGAAAGACTGCTTAACAGGGAAAATTAGGGCTGTGATTCCAGAGTCAGGGGAAAAGGTGTGAAATCGGAATGCTCAAGCCACCCAAAGCACAGTTTCACAGAAAGGATTCAGTGCCTTTTTGTTGTGTTAGTTTTCTTTCTTTCCCAGTTGTATTTTTATCAAGCTGCATGACGAATGAGGTGTACACCCTGACTTTTATTAATGGAAGTGGTGAGCCCCACACATCACACGCTCACCGCTGATATTCTCCAAGAGTTTAACCTGCCTCGTGTAATAAACCTGCTGTTTTCAAAACCCTATTTACAAATGAAATAACACCTCATTTCTGAGAGCTTCTGTCTGTCCAGACTTTACACTGGCGACGAAGAACATTTTAAAAATAGTCTCTGGCGCAGAGGAAGCCCCTTTACAGGAGGGTTTTTTTGTTTTGTTTTGTTTTGCTTCATTTGTATGTTCTGAACCAAGAAATAATTTGAGTCTTCAGATGTCTGAGTGCTAATCACCTTCTCCCAGTGACTGCTGACACAGTGCTGTCGATCCTAATAGAACTGACTTGAGCTGTCACTGAGAACTGACGGACCTTCCCAATTTTCAATGTTAGGAATTTATCCAGGTTTGAAAGATAATTCAAAGAAATATTATCTCCCACCCAGAACCCAGCATTTTCTTACAGTTTAATTTCGCCAGTCTAGGCAACAGCCAAGTGACTGCACGTGGCCAGCTTGTGCCAGAAAGCTGCCCGCCTTGCTGTGTCCTTGTCCTCCAGGCATGACACATCCACATGCTTCAAATCCATGCTCACAGTCACAGGGCAGAGGGGAAAGTGCCTTGCAAATTTCTTAGACTCTGAAATCTGAAAATCGAACTTTTTTCATGTATTATAATGATGGCTCTTTTTATTTGCAGCTTTTATTTCATTTCACCTCTAAGACTTCTCTCTGTCCTTAGGGAAATTCAAATTGTCCTTGCTTTGGTTCAGGGTTGCCCAGATGCACCAGTGGGGAAACAGATTTATTTAAAATAAGTATATTCCTAGGAGAAAAGGATTGATTGATTGATTGATTGATTTATACACACAAACATACACATACAGATGGATGATAGACAGAGTATAAAATGCACTTTTTTTCTTCCTTTCTCGGTTTACAACTTAAATATCATCTTACTATATTAAGTCCTTCCTTTCTCCCTTTGGGATTTCAGCCGTGACCTATTTCTCCCCCATGTAGCACTAGTCTTCACCTAAACACAGTGCTGTTTTTAAGATCTGCTCTCATAAAGCCTCGTAGTGCTGATAAAAATGTTTGGACATTATGTGACTAAGTAAAGGATAAATAGGAAAAGGTGAAGTGATTGTGATCTTAGATTTCTCTAAAAAATAAAATAAGATGCACAAAGATATCTCTCTACTATTAAATGTGGATCTCTGAGGGTAGTAAAAAAACATGGTTATCAAAGGCAGCAGTTTGTTTTGGATTCATGTTGTTCAAAGTTATAGCTGTGATTTCAGAGCTTTGTCGGGAGGCTTCATAATAAACGTTGGTCAAAAACCTGATAGGGATTTCTGAGATTATCCGAGCAGATGGTACCTAGAATCCACATGATGTCTTTCTTCCTAAAATATTATCTTTAACTTAGCAGATGTTTACGTTCTTAGCAGCAGTAAGGTTTAACAGAGGGTTTTCGAACCTCAAACTCCCCTATTATTCAAAGAGCAAGTATCTCTTCTAAGTGATTTCAGTATAATAGCCGGGTCCACCGTGTAGAAAGTTTAAAAGGAGCTAAGGACCAAATTTCCCCTGTTAATGAGATTATCCAATGTTTTGGAACATTGGTGAAACATAGTAAGAGGATTCTATTCTGGCACTCAAGAAATGGAGGCTTTGGTGGAAAGTGGAGACATGTCTCTTTTTCTGACCCAGCCAGAGTCCAGGGGCAGTGCTGGGGAGACAGGCCAAGGCCTATTGTGAAGGAGAAAGACTATTCAAAGATTCTTCAAAAGACTGGAGTTTCCAAGGCCCAAGCCATGTGAGATCTATGATTGCCTTAGAAAAGAAAGTCATTAGTAGCAGAGAAAAGCCAATACAAACTATAGAAAAGAGCAAAAATTAACAGGGTTTTACCTACTGGGCCTCAGTGCATGAGTCCTCTATCTGGAGGAGATAACATTTATTTCTTTCAATCTATACATATGTTTTTTAAGGAAGTTGAGATCTGGTTCCTATATCTGATGACCTGGACAATATTTACCAACTACTTAAGATGCACTCAGAGGCCTTGTGAACACACCTTGAAATAGATAGATCTGACTCTTGAGTTTCTGCCTAAATTAGAATGTTAACAAAGAATTATATACTCACTTAGAATCTCACTGCTAATAACACCATTTGTCACTGTGTTTTCTGAAGATGTCTGGGGAATGTCTATTAATTATACACATAAGCTACATTAAGGGCTGACTATTAATAAAAAAAGAGTCCACTGTCACCCTGAAAAAAATACTGACATTAATATTACTGTTCCTATGAGTAACTGTAATCCAATTGATGATAAACGATGAGAATGACTTTTGAGTTATTTCTTACGGTTCTCCTGTAGCTTTTATGTTGACAAATCTTTTATGATTTGTATCAGCAGGATTTACGAACCCTGTGAAAAATATACAAAAACCAATTTAGCATAGCAATCCAGAGAGAAATCCGTCTTGTCTGTAGGTTGTACCTCAGAATTATTTGGGCAAAATGCAAAGTGAAGGAAAGTAATTGCATTTCACCAGACTCTCCAAATGCCATTTTACATTAAAATGAAATGGTTTCTTGGCTTCTTGGAAAACTTAGGCCGCAATAGCTTCATCACCAGTCACAGCAAAGCATTTTGAAACCTTGGTTTCAATTCAGAGTCATGTAGAAGCAGATGAAGTTTTTTCAGGTTGCCGTTGCTGAGTGAAACCTTACTTTGTGTTTAATGTACTAAATTCTTTTTTAATATTATTTTTTAATTTTTTGTACAATTTTATTTATTTATTTATTTATTTGGGAGGAGCATAATTAGGTTTATTTATTTATTTGTTTGTTCATGTATTTTAATGGTGGTACTGGGGATTGAACCCAGGACCTTGTGCTTTCTAAGCACACACTACCACTGAGCTATACCTCCCACCTTAATATACTAAATTGATGCTAGTTTTTTTCCCTTCTATATGCAAAACAAACCATAAGATGGTATTATAAGGGGAGTGAATTATTTCCTACCATTAGGCGGGCAGAGATTAATCACTTTTTTAAAAATCTGTATGTAAGCTGTGTTGGTTCAGGATGTCCACATGAAAGGCAACACAAATGTCTCACATGGTGCTGCCTTCCATAAAGAGATGCTTTTTGACTGACCTCTTCTTGACTTATCTCTTGGGGGAGATAAGTGATAGAAACATAGAGATAAGAACAGAGTCAAGAGAATGAAGGATATTAATAAATAATAGAAGGGCAAAGACATTGACAAACTCAGAGAACAAAAATAAAGAGATTTCTCAAAGACTCAATGAAGTATGAGTGAAAAAAAAGAGGTGATTTAAAAATAAATTATAGCAAGTGAACACAATTTATTTCAAAGCCAAAAAAAGACTCAAAAATAAGATATTTTTAAAAGATAAATATCCATATGGCTGGTGTATATAAGTCTGCATGAGCTGCCGTAACCAAAAATCACAGACTGGGGGCTTTATACAACTGAAATTTATTTTCTTACAGTCCTGGAGGCTGGAAGTCTAAGATCAAGGTTTCTGCCAGTTCAGTTTCTGGCAAGGGCCCTCTTCCTGGCTTGCAGAGGGCTGTCTTCTCTCTTTGTCCTCACATAGCCTTTCCTTGATGTGCACAGAAGGAAGGGTGGGTGGATGGAGAGAGAGAAGGAGTAGGAGAGTGTTCTCTGGTGTCTCTTCTTACAAGGGCACTAATCCTGTCGGATCAGGGGCGCACGCTTATGACCTCATTTAACCTTAATTACTTCCTTAGAGGCCCCACCTCCATATATAGCCACGCTGAAGGTTAGGGCTTCAGCATGTGAATTTTGGAGGGACAGAAACCCTCTGTCCATAACAGTCAGTAAGGAGTCACCTTTGCACTGAGTAACTGAAGTTTTCTAAATGTGTCTCTCTGGTTGTCTATCATTGGGTCTAACAATGTTTCTTCCTAACTCTCCTGTTTTTATTCCTGTTTCAAAGAGGAAAGGCAAATGGCAAATGAAGTTGCCCTTAGATCCCTTAGCTGCCCCATCCCAGAACTCTGAGTTTGCTCTCAAAATGATTCACACACACCTTGTTTGACAAGTCCTGAACTATATCTCTGGGGTCCCAAAAATTGACTTTCCCTTGTGTCACTTAGAGATTTTGAGTATGCAGCTTTGGATCTCTAAGACCAGAATGATCCACAATCCAGTAGTGAAGATTTTTATGGGTAGATCTTTTCTATATCTCAATTTTAAGAATGCTGTTCTTGTTCTGTAATAGACATAATGAAGATTGCTGGTATCTTGACCCCACTAATTGGCCAACCAGTTTAGGGAAAAAAAAAATGGAGACGAGATGAAAAGCAGTTACTGTCCCTGAGCCGGCTGGTATCTACGGCGGGAGTTTGTAATAAATTTCTGTTGCTGGAGCCACCCAATCTATGGTGTTTTGTTATGGCAGCCCAAACAGACTAATATGCTGACCATATGGATGATTATGTTTTTTAAAAATCTCATTTTTGAATAGATTCCCTTTGTAGTTAAGCGCTCCATGGAATGTTTCTTGGGAGGCATCTTCTACTTGCCAAATAGATGTTGATTTCAGAGCCTTTCACTGTATAAAAGTGTGACTGTGCATTTTTAGTAATTCTACCTTTGAGAGCCCCAACTCTAGTATTGTTTTTAGCTCTGTGCAAAACACAGAATCAAGGTGTCACAATATTATGAGTCTGCTTGGAAGCTTTGTTTCAGAGAGAAATTCTACTTACAGCCTACCTACTGAAATAAAAGAGCATTTTCTGCTTACGGCTGTGGAATTTTCCCTTTCATCTTATTTACAAAAGGCCTTCTATTTATTCATCTTACCAAAGAGGAAGGTAAATTAGATTGTTGACATCACTGCAGTCAATGAATGCTCAGTAAATGTTGGATGAATGGCTGGATGGAAGGACACAATTATTGTGGTTTCCACTTTCACATCAAATAATTGAATTACAGAATTTTATTGCTTGGAAGTATCATAATTCACCCGGTCAAACTTCTCTCTCCTGGATGTCTTTGAGGAAATTATTCTCCTAAACATTTATTAAAATTAGTAACAATAACTAACCCTTATTGAGTGTTTACTCTGGGCCAAACACTGTTCTAAGTGCTTTTTGTGGATTACCTCAGTTAATTTTGTAACAGCAGTCATGTTGGACAAGAACGTCCTGGAGCAGAAGTGGGTCTTCTTTGTCTGTGAACCCCTTGTCCAACAATCCCTGCATTAGGTAAGGCACTCTCAAGACTTCTTCTCTCCCTGGGAGCCTCCCACGCACGCACCATACAGGCGCACACACCTCTTCACTGGTTCCCAAGGAAACCTAATTGGAAAAGTAAAACATGCCACCTTTCTCAAAGAGAGTACTTTTAATGCTTCAATAATGAAAGAGGACAGAGGTGGGAGGAGAAGCAGATAGTCCCTGTTCAAAGACGATGCTGTTTTGTTTTGTGCATTTTCTTCCCCTGAGGGTCTCCTGGCCTTTGAACACTGAATGCTAGAGTCTGGAAATAACCTGCCTCCTATTTCATTTCTTGCTAAAGTTAGCCTCAGGGAAGTTTATGATTGTAGAGGACTTAATCCATCGCCTACAGTGTCCCCTAGATATTCATTTTAGAAGTAGCCAGTGCAGGATTAGCCACAGTTATGGGAATCAGGGGTGACATCAAGCAATGAAATGCACATAAAATCTCAAGCCCGCATTTTGGCCGTTGGTGTACTTGGTTGTCATCTCCTGCTCCAGCAAACCGGGGCAAAATTTCTGCACTTTTTTCTTGGACAAAGATGCTAAAGAACAAGTCTTTCTTTTACACTTGTATATGAAATCCTGACATTCATTGATATCTTATTAGCACCCACATTCCATTTTTAAATTGTACCTGGCCCCGTGGAGGTAGCAAGGAAGGAGACTGGAGGAAGGAGGGCATCACAACGGCCCCTCCTCCCCGCACACGCCCACATCTGCCTTTCAGTTCCCCTCCAAAGCTGCCCTGGATGTTATAACAAAAATATCATAGACTCTGTGGCTTATTAACAGAAATTTATTTCTCACAATTTTGGAGGCTGAGAAGTGTGGCGTGTCGGGTGACGGTCTGCTTCCTGGTTCCCAGATGGACATGTTGTCACTGTGTGAGACAGAGGAGTGAGCTAGCATCCCACTTATATATAAGCACACTAAATCCCAATCACCAGGGCTCCACCACCATGACCTCTTCACCTCCCGATGGCCCCACCTCTTAATACCATCACCTTGGGGGTTACAATTTCATCGTATGAATTTTGGAGGGACACAGATATTCCATCCATAGCAGACTCAGAGAAAAGGAAAGAATGCACCTAAGAATCAGATATTTCTGCTCAGCTTTTGCAAGAAAGTGGGCCATCCAAACCACTGAAAATTAGTTCTTGTCTTGAGAAAACCAAACAAATCTATGACAATTACATGCTTAGTGTTTGCTGTAGCTAGCATTTTCGTTTTAGCAGGTTGAATTCATTACAAAGAGCTGGGAAGCCTGGTGTCATCGGACATGAAGCACATTCATACCTGTTCTTTTAGGAGTGAGAAAGGGAGGCAGTGTGGCATTTTGGAAGAGCCTCGAGTTGGTGGTGAAATGAGCCTGGCACTGTGACCTTCCTTCAGCATGTCACTTCATCTTAGGGTTCTCCATGGAAGGAGAGGACTCAGTGACCCAGGGCCCTTCCAGCTGTGAAATCCTGAGGCCCTATCTCTTGGAGCCTAAAGCCTCTATTCTAAACAATTGCAGAGATCTGCGATCACAGCTCATCTTTCATGAGCGACCAGTGTCCTTAAGATGAAATGAATGACAAGTTCTTGGACAGGAAGCTGGTCCCACATTAAAACGTTCCAGGCGGCAAAGAAGCTCTGCTTCATAATGACGAAGTATTTAAGGTCTGCTGGGGCCTAAAAGTGCATGAGGTGCCCCAGGACCAGATGCCTTGCAGGTCCCGTGTGCTATGTGTTCTCTGGCTGTTCTAGCATTTCCGTTGACTTGCCTGATGTCACACAGCTAGTTAGTTACAGAGATGAGATTAATGGCAGAAGGGAAGAGGATTAACATTTGCTGGTCCCCTGGTCTCTACCAGGTACCATGCATCCTGTACTTGCCTGAGAATTACTAACCCTGGTCTAAAGATGAATGCCTCCCACATAGTCCAGATATTTCACATGTTTTCTTTCTTTTTTTTTTAATTGAAGTATAGACGGTTACAGTGTGTAAATTTTCTGGTGTACAGCATAATGTATGTATGTTTTCATATTCTTCACTTTTTCCTTTAGTGGCTTTTTGAAAACTTTGTTGAGGGTGACAGTTTTAATATTTTTGATGCTGCCACCTAACCTCATTTCCCAGGCTCAGCACATGTTTTTATGGACGTCTGTTCCCGCTCTCAGCCCCGCGGGGGCCTGTTGGTGATTCATAGCAGGCCCCACACTCCCTGAGATTTGCCGCATTTGATCATCTGTGTGGGCATCTGTGTGGCTGAATGACGTGGAGATATAAACTGATTTTTTATCTACAGATAAAAATTGTAGAAACAGCAACAATGACAAATGTATTAGGAACCATTCTTTTTAAGTAGGAGTTCAGATCACTTAAAATATTCACCTTCCCACAACTTGACCATAGCTCCGAGTTTTAGAGTAAATGCATTATATTTTTATGTAGATGTGTAAGTACTAGCACCGTATTTTATCCAGCATCGTGCCAGACTGAAGGGACCCTCCAGCAAGAAGAGGTGGCGTTCCTGAGTGCTGAAGGGAGTTGTCCTTTTGTGGGGGATGAAGAAGTGAGAACGTCACTCCCAGCCTGAGTCGAGCCCCAGCCGAGCTGAGAGCTGGGCAGATGCAGGCAATCCCCCGAGACTGCTTCTTGTGAAC